CAAGCAGAGGGGCGGGTTACAAATAAAAACTATTATTATTATTATTATCTGAAGGACCATGTTCTTCCATGTAAGCCTGTCCATGTTTTGAGATCTTCTGGGGAGACTCTTGTTTCTGTCAAACCATCCTCACAGGTACATCTGGTGGGAATATAGGAGAGGGTCTTCTTGATAGCTGCTCTCAGAATCTGGAACTCCCTTCCTAGGGAGGCTAAACAGATGTTCTTCCTTCTGTCATTTTGTAGGTAGGTGAAGATCTTTTTGTTTCAGCAAGACTATTTGTTTCAGCAAGAGAATGCATAAACCCACCAGCTAAAGGAAAAGGGCCTTTCAGAATGTGCTTCATTGTTTATTATTATTAGTTGTTGTTTTTGAATGACCCTGCATTTAACTATTTTTAATTTTATGGATAGGTTAAATAATATTTTAATTTATGTATGGTATGAACCTTAAAGCTATATCAGTTATAACTTTTGTCATTTGACTTGAGTCTGAGAGTGGGAAAATATGTTGCCTTGGAGTGTAGTGAAGTTTCCCTCTTAGGAGTTTTTTATTTAAAACAGAAGCTGAATGACCATAATAATAATAATAATAATAATATAGTCACCTAACTGAATAAGCAAAGTGGTAGGCATATTTGCATGTAGATCTCAGCCTTCTGTGGATTTTGGAACACCTAGAGGGTTTATGTGGCCAGAGTCAGTTTTGAGTCATCTTTAAAAGAGATTGTGTTAACCAACTAGGCAAGGCGAAAGCAGGAATTGAGGTGGGGTGGGAGCTTGTTCTGTGGGGGCTGGGAAACTTTCATTAGTTGCCCACCAAAGAAGCCCTGCTCTTATATTAGATATATACAATATAAACTGTAGTGTACCACTGTCAGAACATGCTTATCTTTCTTGTATAATCAGGATATACTGTTTGTCATTCTGTCCCCATATAATGGATATGGTTGCCACCATGGGGCAGATGCGTTCTGGAATCCTTGTTAGCATCATGACCAGGCATTGACAGATGTCCAGTGGCACTGAAATGTTATTTTATGTTTAGCAGGCCCTGCTAAATAGTTTCACTTTAGCCTGGCAGTTCAAGTAATAATAATAACAACAACAAAAAAGGGAGGAAACTTTGCTGTTATTATGTGCCCTCAAATACGACTTACGAAAACCCTAAGGCAAAGCTATCACAGGGTTTTGTTGGCAAGATTTGTCCAATGGGGGTTTGCCAGTGTCTTCCTCTGAGGCTGAGAGAATGTGACTTGAGAATCACCCAATGTGTTTCCATGCCCATAAGGGGAGCCCTGGTGGCACAATGGTTAAATGCCAGTACTACAGCCATAACATTGTAAGTTTGAACCTAGAGGAGGGCTCCAAGGTCCACTCAGCCTTCCATCCTTTCATAGGTTGGTAAAATGAGTACCCAGTTTGTTGTGGGCAATTGGCTTACACATTGCAAACTGCTTAGGGAGTGCTAGTTCATTAATAAGCTGTATAGAAATGTACTTGCTACTGCTATTGCTGGTTTCTGGAGTTCTAGTCCTACACTAAAAAACCACTACACCACACTTGCCTTTCAGCAACTTGCTTATATTGTTCTTATACCTGTTAGAATGGGAGTTGGGTCATTCCTATGAAGTTTAATTTCTTTTGGTTGGTTGGGCTCTTTATTCATCTTCTAACCTAGTCCAAGTTTAGATGGACCCCAGTCTGGGGAGCTTATTCTCCAGTCACTTGACCTTGAAACAATCTGCTTAGAATTTGTTATTTAGAGGACCAGTTCTTCCACTTTCTGCAAGAGAATGCATAAACCCACCAGCTAAAGGAGTGCAATATTTTTCTCTCCTATGGACCACCTGCTGTATCCTTTCCTAAGAATAAAGCTGATCTTCTAGCAACATACTTCAGTTTTGGGTATCAATGGAAATATTAGAGGAGACTGGAAATATTCCCAATTCTACCTCAAAACACCCAGTACAGAATATTTTGATTGGGAATAGCTGTCCAGGATCTTTCTGTCTCCTGTTACCTGATTCTTTTACAAGGAAATACCAGAAAGTCAGCTTTGAATTTTCTGTGTGCAAAACATGTACTCTGTTATTGAGCGATATCCTCTCAATTCTGCTGACAGCACTTTATATCAATAAGACTGAATTTGAACTGATTGTTGTCTTGAGGGGCTTTCTAGGGCTTTGAAGACCCACCCAACCTGAGTTGGGGCTTTTCTCTCATCTAGAGGAATAAGAAGCTCTCTTCTTCTTGGATGAAGTCAGACTACAATTTGGGAGGTTTCTGACTGGAGGGGTGAACTTGTCAGTCCTGCAATCTTGCACTGACATTTCAAATTCCCTCTTGTTCTGGCTACCTTTCTGGGAACAAAGGCACCATGAAACCTCAGATCTTTTCTGCTCACCTTGATGTGCTGATTTTTTTTTTAAAGAGAAAATGAAAAGTCCTCTTCTGGGCTGTGCATATGTGCACATTTGTGTGTCTGTTTTGTTCCTGCAGCAATGCCTGTTGTGGGAATGGATAGAGGAGGATTAATAGTGGCTATGATGAGCCAACACTTTGTTTAAATCCACTTTCCAATCTAATCTCCTATTGACTGAGAAACATCACACAGGGACGTCTTGGAGGAATTATTACAAATCCCTTTTAAACTCTTTAGTGGCTTCTTTCCCCCCTCTCCCTTCCCATTTACACCCTTGATGCTTTATTAGTAGCTGAGGACTTGGTCCAAATGCATCATGGGTATTCAATTAAGATGCAAACTTTTACCATTTGAGATGCATTATCATGGTCCCACTGACACTTTTTTAAAATGCAAACTAGATCTATCACATCTCAGATGAATTCAAAGAAGATTAAAGAGGCAGAGATGCCTACTGTCTCGATGCAGAATTCAATACAAATGAGAGCCAGAGAGAGAGAAAAAAGTAAGAAGAGGGGAAAAAACAAATTAAAGGAGGGATGGGACAACTTTTTTCTTTAAAACCAAACTATTCTGAGGTTTGGCAGCCAGGGTGTCAGAGTTCAGAGGGCAAACCGATATGTCTTATGGATGGTGGAGCAGAATTCTGTTTGGTCTTCAGTTCTTATTACCACTGTCTTTATTCACACTGCCTAGACTAATATATGGATTGAAACACATTCTTCAAATGGCACATTTCTTTGAATTTTGTAATGCAGTTCTTGGCACAAAATATAGGAAAAAATCTCTCCCCCCCACCCTTGGAAACTTTCACATAAAATGATGTATTAGGAAATGCTATATACAAAAATACAAATGCTGCTGCTGCTACTTCTGTTTTTGTTATATGCCTTAGGTTGGATCTATCATAGGGTTTTCTTGGCAACATTTATTAAGAGGAGATTTGCCATTGCCTGCCTCTTAGGCTGAGAGATTGTCTTACCCAAGATCACCCAGTGATTTTCCTTGGCTGAGCAGGGATTTGAACCCTAGTTTCCTAGAGTCCTAATCATACACTCAAACCATTAAATCACACTGGCTCCAGTATAATTTGCCATGCAGGCTTTTTAAATGGCAGGTCAGTGCAGAAGTGGACTGCAATAGATTTAATAATTTAAACTGAGATTTAAACTGAGATAGATTCAGCCATCCCTAGTCATATGATCTTTGTAATTGGTCCTGATGGGACAAGTGTTATAGAATCTTACAGCTGGAAAGGACCTCATGGACTATCTAGCCCAGGGGTAGGTAACCTTTCCCCTTTAAGGGCCGAGGGACTTCAACTCCCAGAATCCCAGGAGCTATTGGCCAACATGGGACCATTGGCCAACATGGCTGAGGCTTCTGGGAGCTGAAGTCCCTCGGCCCTTAAAGGGGAAAGGTTGCCTACCCCTGATCTAGCCCAGTAGGGTCTGTGGTACCTCATATAGAATCAAAAGGTTGCAGGAGCAAGAACTTGTACTTGTAAGAAGACATAAACAACTGCAACATCTTGTGTTACCAAAACAGTGATTGGAATAATTGGGCGTTTATCTGGGATGGAGATGGAAATGTGATAATGCAAACACTTCAGGGGTGATGGTGGAGGCATTTATCTACTCACATTCTCTACTCTAACACTGATATCTACTCTCATTACACACCTGCCAGTTCTCCAGAATTTATGCTTGATTAGGAATGTAAATCATTGTGTATTGCTTTTCACTGGTGAGCACTGTAGACCTTCAGATAATCAAACATTATAGAAAGGGGAAAAAATAGCATGTGATTTATAGACTACAGCAAAGCATTTTACTATATAGATCATGAAAAGCTATGGGTGGCTCTTAGGAACATGTGAGTGCTACCACATCTGATAGTCCTGATTAAAAATCTGTACTTGGGACAAGAGCAGGGGTAGGCAACCTTTCCCCTTTAAGGGCCGAGGGACTTCAGCTCCCAGAAGCCTCAGCCATGTTGGCCAATAGTCCCATGTTGGCCAATAGCTCCTGGGATTCTGGGAGTTGAAGTCCCTCGGCCCTTAAAGGGGAAAGGTTGCCTACCCCTGGACAAGAGGCTACTTTTAGAACTAAATATGGAGAAACAGAATAGTTCCAAATTGGCAAGGGTGTCAGACAAGTCTGCATATTATCACCCTACTTGTTCAACTTTTATGAAGAAAATATCATATGAAGAGCAGTTTTAGTCTAAGAAGAAAGATGAGTAAAGATAGAAGGAAGAAACATCAACAATCTAAGACAGGGGTAGGCAACCTTTTCCCTTTAAGGGCCGAGGGACTTCAGCTCCCAGAATCCCAGGAACTATTGGCCAACATGGGACTATTGGCCAACATGGCTGAGGCTTCTGGGAGCTGAAGTCCCTCGGCCCTTAAAGGGGAAAAGTTACCTACCCCTGATCTAAGATATTCAGATGTCACATTATTACTAGCAGAAAACATCATAGACTTGGAAAAAAGACTTTCTGTATCTTAGATCAAACATTGACCAGAATGGAGAATGCAGTTAAGGAATTAGAAGAAGACTAAGACTGGGAAGGCCAGCTATGAATGAATTAAACAAGATCCTAAAGAGTAATGATATACAACTGAGCATTAAAGTTAGACCAGGGGTAGGCAACCTTTCCCCTTTAAGGGCCGAGGAACTTCAGCTCCCAGAAACCTCAGCCATGTTGGCCAATAGTCCCATGTTGGCCAATAGCTCCTGGGATTCTAGGAGCTGAAGTCCCTCGGCCCTTAAAGGGAAAAGGTTGCCTACCCCTGAGTTAGACCCAACCAAACCATTGTATTACTTAGCACCATGTACAGATATGAGAGCTGAACAGTGAAGAAAGCGGATAAGAAGAAAGTCAACTCATTTGAAATGTGGAGCTGGAGAAGAGTGGTGAGGATACTGTGAACTGTCAAAAAGACAAACAAATGTGTTTAGAACAGATCAAGCCTGAACTCTCCCTGGAAGCCAAGATGAGGACATCAAACTTTGGCCACATCATGAGAAGGCACTACTCATTAGAAAAGACAATAATGCTAGGAAAAGTAGAGGGTAGTAGAAAGAAAGGTAGACTGCACACCAGATGGATAGACTCAGCTGGCAAGGTCATGGGCCTAAGAAGAACATTTATGGATGGGGGGTCTTGGAGATCTGCAGGGAGTCAGCTTCCAGGCAATTAACAATAACATGGAAGGCAGGCAGGCAGGCAGGCAGACAGGCAGGCAAGCAAGCAAGCAGGCAAGAGCAAGTAAGTCTTGTTCATCTCAAACAGATTCCAATGTGCACCCAGAAAATGGGTGAATCCTAGGGAATTCCCCTTTACTCTCTCCTTTTTAATAGTTAAAGTTGAAATGGCTAGGATTCCAATTTCTTCCTTTTAAAAGGAAACAGAGTATGTAGGTTTTATATATTCCAAAGCATATTTGGTGTTCCTAGTAGGAAGGCTTCATCATGCTAATTTCAATACTAGCATTATGAATCCAACAAGTATTTGAGGAATTCAAATACCTCTTTTGATTTTAGAAGTACTGGTAAGTCATCAAAATTAGTTTGGTTGATGGACAGACCCAAGAATGCTGTTTGGTAGGTAAATGCATGGAGCTTGGAGTCAATGATGACAGAGGGACTGGTGACTTGCAACTGCAGCTGCATCTTAAACAAATAAGGGGTTTTGGGACTATGAATCTGAGCAAATGGCCTGTAAGGGGTGGTGCCCCACCTCCTCTTTCCTTGCTAGATTGGGCCCATGGCAACTGCACGCTGCGGCCCCAATCTGGTGGTTTGCTGCTCTAAAAAGAGCTAGCAAATGCCACTCCTTTTTAGAGTGGTATAAAGCTGTCCTTGCCGCCACCACAGCAGCAGCTTTTTGGAACTCCTTTGGCACAGCATGTGTGAATGATGCACCAACATAGCACCCTGATGCTGCCCACTGTCTGGTTGGGTGAGTGGCGTTACAGTGGCATCGGGGCAGAGTCGGAGCAGCCGACGTGCAGTCACCATGCCCCCACTCCAGAATAATTCCTTCAGGATATTCAGGATTATAATACTTCAGGATATTTGGGATATTACCAAAGGCTAACACTGAAGAAAGGACAAGCCTTTGTGAATTCACATCAGTTCAGTCAAAAGGCTCCTTACAAGCCCTGTTGCTGGTTTTCAGCATAAGCATATCATTTATCAGGTGATTCCAGTCAAGGTTATAAAGCATTCTGTTTGTTTTTTGTTAATAACTTCTAACAGAGAAGGTGATGGTGGAAAAAACTGTGCTTCTAGCATTTTTAATCTACCAATTACAATAATCTGCATTTTTCTACCACCGTTCATCATGTCATCTATTCAAGACTTCTAAAAATATTAATGAATTTAGCTTCAGAGCAGCCCCATAAAATTAATTATATCCATTAAAAAGAAGAAAAAGAAAGGTATAAGTCTTCAGACAGCAGTGCAATATTTCACATAGGAATTTTAGAGTAAAGCTTACTGTATGTTACAGAACCCATAATGATGGTTTACTCTTAAGGCCATCCATCTCATGATGAATGACAGCTTTGCTACAAAGCACTTTCACTGCAAGAAACCATCCCTGCTTGCATATATTAGTTTCAAAGAAGGCACAGAAGGGAACTTAATGAAATATCTAAGTTCTAATGAATGGGGAAATCCTAATAAGAACTGGGCCATTGCTCCCATTTCCATACATATTTTCAGTAAGTTAGAAATAATTAACATACAGAGGATCTCACTGGGAAATTGTAATGCATGTTGTATATGAACCATACTTTGCGAATATCCAGATGCAGAGAGCTTAACACGCACACCATCAAAAGTTCCATGCCTTTTGAGGCAGCCAAAGACCTTATTCTCTTTTGGAGGACAAGCACTTGAAATTGATCCCTTCTTATAAGTAATGCATCTCTTGCTTCTCTTCACATTTTTCTGGAAAAAAATTATACTGCTCAAATTTTTAAAACACATGACCAGAAATAGAAGCTCTCTTGAATATGCAATTGACTGATGGCTTTCAAGGTTCATGGAGAAAACATTTCTGCTGACATATAGCTACTCTGACTGTATCTTCTGTAAGAATTCACCTATTTTTTTCTGCATGTTTCACACAGTGAAACATACATTTCCCATTCTGCCTCCTTTTTCAATCCATTCTCACCATCTTCCATTCTTTTGCTGTTATTTGACTCTGAAGATGTCTATTTACTCTGCTGCTAACCTGATCGTATAAATTTTACCCATCTCAATCCTTTCTTAACTAGAGCTAAGCTGAACTTACTTGCTCCTTTTGGACAAGTATTTTCAGCACTGCTGAAAAAGAAATATTTCACTTTTCCAGTGGGGTTCAGGGACAGCAAGGAATCCTTCTTGCTAAAACATTTGCTTATTGATTTTAAGTTGCCCTGATGTTTAGTTTCTCAGAGCTTGGAAAATGTACATTTTTGGATTTCGATTTCCAGCATCTCCCAGTGACAATCATATCTGCGGGATTCTGCAGCTGTAGACCAAAGAAATCAGAACTTTTCTGAGTGCTATAATTTCTCACTGGGTTGGTCATTGCTTAATTCAGAAGAGGGCATATCTGTGATGGCTTGGGATAATGTCTGTGGCAATGAATTTTGATTTAAAATTTGACTAAGAAACCTCAAAGTTAGAAAGAAAGAAAAACAGAATTTTACTATATTTTGAAACTGGCTATAGAATGAGAAGAGGAGAGACAATACTGGACTTCCTAAAGCATTAAAATCTTTTTGGTTTCTGTGTGAAGAAACACTTTGTGAACTATAATATGAAACTGTCTTTGGGTGAGGGTTTGTTTCTGGTACAAAAATATTACAAAATCTCTTTTAAAAGAATATTCAGTTTCATGTGGGGCAAATTATTCTCCCTTCTCTTCAAAGCAGCAATGAGGCCATAGCAACAATTCTCTGAACCAGATAGCTTTCACCCATAGGAAAGGGGGAGTGTATGCTTCTCTCTGTGTGTATGCATGTGTGTGTACATGCACATACCTGCCTAACCCCACTTATCTATACTCATTTCTTTTA